CAGAGCAGTAGAAGGAGCAGGAGGTAGAGGAAGAGGATAAAGGAAAGACAAAGAGGGAGGGGGAGCAGAAGGTATGAGATGAGGAGATAGGGAAGGAAGGGGGAGAGGAAGAGGAAGAGGAGGAGGAGGGAGAGGAGTGTGCTTTTGTTGTTATTGTCTATTAACGGCATCACATGTTTATAGCTCTGCCACTGGCATCCCTCACAGGGCAGCCCTCGCTGATTAATACAGCCATTAAAATGGACACTCTAAGTTATAAAAATTAACTTCTTTGTGACTTAACAGGCATACTCTGAGTCAGAATTGTTAGAGTGGTCTATGGGACACTTACTTGTCTGCGGCCACTCATACCTCTCCACAGTGGGTCATGTAGCTGGGAGTAAAGCTGACCCAGCCCTGGATGGATCACATGGCTCCTCAGTGAATTTCATCATGGGTTGGGTTCAGGGGTGGGCCCATCAGATACCTAGGACTCAATCTAAGCTCTTGAGGACAGTAGTCTATTTTCCCCAGGGGCTTAAGGTTGTGAGAATGCGAAGTTGGAGCTGTAGCAGCCCTCTTTGCACCATGAAGAGACTTCTTGTCTAAGAAGGGACTGAACCAAAGGAAGGCAGGAAAGAAAGTTGGAGGGAAAGAAACAGTTCTGGGGACATCATTGCAGATGTCCAAGGCCAATGTTTAATTTTGAGAAACAATAAATTCCTCTTTGCCTAATTTAGCCCAAATCGGTTTCTGCCACCTGCCATATATTCATGATTGATCCACCCATTCTTTTCAACCTTTGAGCCTTCATGTGCTTGGGCAAGTCCTCTCCCCTGTCCTGGGACAGAGTCTGATACAGGTGGGCATGCCACTTGTCTAGAGAATAGTGCTGGTCCCCCACATGTCTTCCTGACTTCCAGCCCCAGAGCTGAAATGGGCCTGCAGGCAACAATTGCATCCAATCTCCAAGATGCCTGGTTGGGGGAGGGGAGGAGGGAGGAGGGGGAGGGATTAAGAACATTCCCCTCAAGAAAGGCAACCCGAGCATTGAGTCTCCATGGCCCAACATTAATTTAACTGACAATTTAAAAAATAAAAACATATACATTAGGGAAAAGTGGTGCCTAGGTTCAGAGAACAGAAAGGAAATGCTTGCACTCTTGAGGGATCCCTCCTGGTCCCTGAGGAGGCAATAGAGCTGATGCCTGGAGTAGTTTATTGAACATACCATGCATGCTCATGCCTCTCACCTGTGTTCATGCTGCTGTCTCTCCCTACATGCCTTCCCTCTGCGTTTGGCAAGCAAGACCCCAATCTTACTGGCTTGCATCTAACCTATTCTGGATGTGGTCTTGGCTACTCCCATGTGTTTGCCAGGAATGGTTGGTGGGTTGGTTGGTTGGTTGGTTGCAAAAATGTAAATTCGGCCTGATTTGCAAAAGGTATGAGTAAATTTAAGTCTTTGAGATGAGATTTTCCTGGTTTATCTGAGTGGACCTTAAATGCGACCACAGGGATCCTTATAAGAGGGAGACAGAAGGAAATCTGACACAAACAAACACAGAAGAAAAGGGGACAATGAGACCATGGAGGCAGAGACTGGAGGGATGTGACCAAAAGCCAAGGGACACTGGCAGCTTCCAGGAGTGGGGAGAGGATGTAGCAATGGGGAATTGTAACCCACTCCCACCATTCTTTTGACATTGTTTCTGTGAATGATGACTCCAGCTGATGTGTGACTATAGATAGCCAGCATGTGTGTATAAGGTTTCTAGCAACTAACTTCAAAATATACAGACTCCGACCTTCAGTCATCCAAGCTCTGGGAGATTTGCTCACCTTCAACTCTAAAATCAGGATGACAAAAACCAGGACAATGCCCACTAGGCCATCACAACCAGTTTTTAGGTCCTTATTGGAATGGACTGTTCTGGTCTGCACAGAGAGGACTTTTCAACCACTTCCTGTTGATCTCTTTGTTCTGCTTTCCCTCTCCCTCCTTATAAAAACTTCTGCCTGTACTGAGATGTTGAGATGAGCTTTGGAATGAGAGTCTCCCATCTTCCCAGGTTGCCATCGCTTGAATAAAACATTTTTCTTCTCATCAGCACCTGTCTCATGAGTTTGCCTTTGTTGTTGCAGGCAGCCAAACCTGAGTTTTGCTTGTAAGAGTGGAAATAACACTCTGTGTCCTACATGTGGAAAGCAGGACCAGCTCCTACAGCTGAGAGCTCCCCCTTCCCTGGACATTCTCTGCTCCATTCTCTCATTCCACAAAGACAAGTGGGAGGTTCTAAATGAAGGGATACTTGCTTTTTCTTGCCTGGGAGTGTCCAGGTAGAATTTGCAGGCTTGAGTGGGTTCCTGATGCCTGCACTTCATGAAGAATTATGAAGAAGAAGCCCAGCCTGCATGGCTCAGTGGTGGAGCATCAACCTATGAACCAGGAGGTCACAGTTTGATTCCCAGTCAGGCACATGCCCTGGTTGTGGGTTTGGTCCCCAGTGTGAGGTTATGAAGGAGGCAGCCGATCAATGATTCTCTCTCATCATTGATGTTTCTATCTCTCTCTCCTTCTCCCTTCATCTCTGAAATCAATAAAAACATATTTTAAAAAACAATTATAAAGAGGAGATAGCTCAGGGACAACATAGCCAGATATCAGAAAGAATTGAGAGAAAAGGGAGAAAGCACAGAAAATCTGGAGCTTGCTGGGTTGAAAAATAAAACAATTTCTAACCTCCAGACTTTCCATTCAATAAAAGATTCTCAAATTAAGATGTAGCCTGAGAGAAAAGTCAAATCATGGGCATGGCTATAAAGATGTAGCTTAGGAGCATAGAGCAAATCAGAGACATAGCTCTCACACCCCTCTGAAGGTCTCTGGAAGAATTAAATGGTGTGTAGTAGTTACCAGAAAGATTGATGATCCTGCAATAGCCTAAGCTGCCCACAGTACCTGTAATTAAGTTCAAGATAGGTATGTCTTAAAATGAATTGTAAATACAGATTTTGGCACAGGCAATCAAATATATAAGAAACCCACAATTTTTGAGAAAGCCGTATTGGAAAAGCCCACAATATTGACTAAAAGAGACTGAGGCTATTCACGATGAAAAAATGTCCCTGACCACTAATTTTTTATGGGCAAAATGCAGGCTGAGAAAATCTTCAGCTGCTAGAAAGGGCATAATTTCCAGTGTCCTTCTCTGAAGTGACCAAGGAGAATAGTGTGATGGGCAGGGTCTCCTAAAGATTAGACCCCAAAGCCACTGACAATGAAGGACTGAGAGTCCAGCCCCCAGTAGTGGACTAGAGCCTAATTACAGCATTCCTACCCCAGGGTAGCAGTTCCTAACAATGTTTCTCCAGCTACTTAAGAATTGCTGTGGACCAGGGGCTAGTTGGGCCTTCTGTTCTCCTGAATGGCAGTGTTTCTTAAGTGATCCTGTTCCTGCTCTACATGTGGGGGAGGAGTGTGACGAGGGGAGATGTACAGACAGTTCCTGCTTTGTTCATAGGTCTCTAGAGCAAGAAGACCTGCATCCAGATTTGCCATAGAGTACGAGATTTGTCGCTTGATGCCCTAATTGGGTGTCTAGACTTGTTGCTTGATGCCCTAATTGGATGTCTAGAGCAGGGGCAAGTGTATTTTGCAAGTAGAAAAGTCTTCCATAATTGTGTCCAAGAAGGGCAGTCTGTGATAGACTATATCATTGTGCCCAATTCCTTATCCATCGTATGATACCCTGTTTCCCCGAAAATAAGACAGTGTCTTATATTAATTTTTTCTCCCAAAGTTGCGCTAGGTCTTATTTTCAGGGGATGTCTTATCTTTCCATGCGCTAGGTCTTATTTTGGGAGGATGTCTTATTTTCAGGGAAACACGGGTAGTTTCCTAGGATTGTCAGTAGCAAATTACCACAAACTTGGATGACTTAAAACAACAGAAATTTCTTGTTTATGGTTCTGGAGACCACAAATACAAGATCAAGGTGTTGGCAAGATTAGTTTTCTCTCTGAGTGATAGTCTGTTTTCTGCCTCTCTCCTAGCTTTTAGTAGTTGTCTGCAATCCTTGGCACTTCTTGACTTGTAATTAAGTACACCCACTCTCTGCTTCCATTGTCTCGTGTTGCTCTCCCTGTGTGTCTCTGTTTCTGTGTCTCCATTTCTCTTCCTATAAGGACACTAGTCACATTGGATTTGAGGCCCACGCTAATTCCATATTACCTCATCTTAACTAACTACAATACATCTGCAAAGACCCCATTTTCAAATCAGATCCCTTTCTGAGGTTCTAGGCATCCTTCATTTGGGGGAGAACACTATTCAATCCATGTCCCTATATCTACACCTTGTGTGTCTGCCGTTTCTCTGCCCCTTCATGTGGGCTGGGATATATATCTCTTCTGACCAAGGGAAGTTGGCTGAAAGAGACAATGTGCCAGTTTGGAGCCCAGGTCTCAGAGGCATTGTGCTTTCATGCTCACCTTCTAGAAGTTTCTGACTTCCTCCATGAGATGAGCTTCCTTCTGGGAGCTGGTGCCCCTTCACCTGGGAGATGTGGGGGAGAGAGGGCGGCGGGCAATGTCAGCCAATGTGGAGCAGAGCTGCTCCAGCCACCCCACACTTGCCCTGTCAGGAGAACTGCCTAGACCAATCTGCAGAGCTGTGTGACTGGAGATAACTCTCATCTTACTCTACTAGGTTTTAGGGTGGTTCATGATGCAAAAATTAACTATCTGAGTGAGGGACAGAAATCATAGGGACAGCCTCTTATAAGTTCTGCTCCAGCTCCATGCTGGATATGAATGGACCCAGTGTTGCCAGGGTATTTTATTTTACCAAAAGGAACCCAAAATCTAGATATATAATCCAAAATCTTCCAATTGTATATATATGATTCTGCCTGCAAGCCTCTAGCTTATGGCCTGAGGTAAAGACTGGCTTGTATGGAAGGTCCCTCAGATGCTTCCAGTCACAGGTGCCATCCTGGGAAGATTCTGGTTCCACAAAGAGAGGGTCCTCCTTATGAAGGAAAAAAAAAAAAAAAAAAAAAAAAAAAAAAAAAAGGAAAATAAAGAGGGAAAAAAAAAAAGCCTTTCTTTTTCTTTGTTGTGGCTTTCCATAATTTATGAGAAGTACCTGCTAATTAAGCCCCAATATTGTTGGCTCCTCCAATTCAAATTGTTGGTGCCTCTGTTCAAAACTGCAAGACAAGATAAGCTACTCTCAAGGTTACATTCTTGCATCCCCCTTCTCCCATTTTTACAGCTCAGGGATAATTCGCACCAAGGAGTCTCTATTAATAGAAAGTTTCCTTTTCCTTTTCCCTTCAGACAGGCCTCTTTTGAACGCTTCATAACTTTTGCTCTACTCATGTGTTATAGGCTTGGGGACAATACCGACAAGACACCTTTCTAATACATCTGCCTGGACTGTTTTCTGAAAAACAAACTACTTCAGCCCCAAATCCTCCTCCCTTCCATGTCACCTAGCAACAGCATCCATTACCCTTTAAAGGGGAAGCCACCTTTTGTTTCTTGTGCCTGTATTGATTAGCAATGTACCTGCCCTTTACTCCCTTGGAAAGTAAAATAAACTCCCTCCTTCTCTGCACCCATCTCTTCTCTCAGCTCTGAATTCTTTCACAGCCCTGTCATCAGCAAAATCCAGAACACTCCTGTGAAACAAAGAACCCAGGCATGCCATCCAGGATTCCCATTGGGAGGAAGTGCAGATGGTCCACACACAGGAAGAAGCAATGTGGGGGATTTGTCATCTCCATGCCTTTCTGCCCCTTACAAGGGCATCTTGGTTTATGCTGTTAAAAATACTTGGCAAGCCCTCGCTGGTTTGGCTCAGTGGATAGAACATTGGTCCATGGACTGAAAGGTCTTGAGTTTGATTCCAGTCAAGGGCACATGCCTGGGTTGTGGGCTTGATCCCAGTAGGGGGTGTTCAAGAGGCAGCTGATCAATAATTCTCTCATCATTGATGTTTCTATCTTTCTCTCCCTCTCCCTTCCTCTTTGAAATCAATAAATATATATTTAGAAATATTTGGCAAAAAAAATGCCTATAGAATTTCTTCTTCTTCTTCTTCTTCTTCTTCTTCTTCTTCTTCTTCTTCTTCTTCTTCTTCTTCTCCTTCTTCTTCTCCTTCTTCTTCTTTAGTGGTGGGGTTTTAGGGATTGTTCTTTAAGGGGAAAAAATTTGGAAAAAAGTCCAAACACCACAAGTTGAAATTGATTTTACAGGACAAACACCTCACTTTAAATTTAAATTGAGTCCAATTTCATTTCATTTCCCTGAGTTCTAGAAATGTAAACATTCAGTATGTTTACACTTGTTTCATCTGGGTTTTTTTTTGTTTTGTTTTGTTTTTTTGCTAAGTTCTGGTCTCCCACCTCCTTTCCTTTACTTCTATTTGTCATTTCATACATATGCTCAATTTTGTATTTACATATGTCTAACATTTATAGATGGCCATTGAAATATGCCAGGTGAAGGATGAAACAGTCCTGAAAACAGCTAGAAAATTATGCAACAGTGGAGAAGTTGGGCACATGTACATTCTGCACTGTGAGAATAGACCAAGTTTGTTATATGTGAGGCTGGAGGGTTTCCCTCACACCCTGAAGGATGACAGCTTATTGGGCATAGCTGGCATCCTGCAGAAGGCATGCCCTCAGGGACCCTCTGAGATAGGGAGGGCCAGGCTGGCACAGAGACTACAGCCAGGGGAGGAGGGCTCTGTTGAAGGGACAAGAGCCACACCCAAGGCTGTGAGGCCAAGGCTGGGGCTCCAGTGAGGCTGAAGTCCAGTGTCTAGCAAGGTGGAGGCCAGGGTCTGATAAAGCCAAGACCCAGTTTCTAGTGAGAGAAGGTCAACCATTTGGAGGCATCCATTTCCCTGCAATCCTGTGTTGGGAGGTCCTGGCAGATAGCTTCTGATAGACCTGAGCTATGTTGTCCCCATTGCCTGCTTCTCTCAGAGCTCAGGATCTTTGTGTTTGTCCAGGACTACCCTAACTCTGAAATTCTTGTGTATCTCTTGTGCTCTTGGAAGATTCAGGAGAATAGTAATTGGACCTCCAGACCAGGCTGGGTCATCCGTTGACCCTGCTCTCCCTCAGCTGTTCATCTCATTGTCTAATAGATTAGAAACAATAAAAGAAAACTGTGAAACCTGTAATCACATTCAAAATCTCCATTTTCAATTTCAGGGATGGGGGAAGGCTTTACTATCTATACTAATAAAAGGGTAATATGCTAATTAGACCAGACATCTAAATATCCTTCCGGACAAAGCCACGAGGCAGGGCCTAGGCAGAGATGTTTAGGGGCAATCGGGGTGGCAGGGGAGAGCAGTTAGGGGTGATCAGGCAGGCAGGCAGAGTGGCTAGGGGCAATCAGGCAGGTTGGCAGGTATGTGGTTAGGAGCCAGCTGTCCTGGATTGTGAGAGGGATTCCAGATTGGAGAGGGTGAAGGCTGGGCTGAGGAACTACCCTCACCCATGCACAAATTTCATGCACCAGGCCTCTAGTATTGCTATAAAAAAAAAAAAAGATCTGATGGTCTCAGTTGACCTCAGGTATAACGATATAACAGGGTGGCTGATAATGCAATTTGCCTGCTCAAAAAAAAAAAAAAAAATTGAAAACAACATTCTAGAAAACTGTAATCTTCCATCAGAGCTCTGTCAAAGATGCCATGTGGAATAGAGAGCCTGGATCCACATCAGAGGGTCTGCAGAATGGGTCAGGGGGAAGATGGACACCATAGCACAGACCCATGGGGGAGAGATCCTTTAGAAAGCTGCTGCCCAGCCTTTGGCATAGGATTCCAGGATGCTTGGAGGCATGGGGAAGGACCCCTGGGCTCAATAATGATGGCGAAAAGCTGGTATCCTGTGTATTCCATGAAAACTTGTTGGAAGAGAGTTATTTCCACTGCTCCTACCTTTACTGTAACCCTCCTACCTTGACTGTAACCCACCCCCTAACCCCCTACATGAGTCTGCTGCTCCTGTCCACAGCCTTCATGGCCAGGGAAGATGAGGACATGGCAGAGCCCACAGGTCAGCCAGACCAGGCCAAGTTCAGCTTGGACCTTGATGGGGATTGCTAAGGAGTCTGGAGCTCAGTCGAGAACTCAGGTTGCTCATTGCCTTGGCTGCTCACATGGGACATGGGAAATGGTCATGGGGAATAGCCATCGCCTAAGTGTCATTTGATTTCCTCATTCTCATTTTCAGAAATGCAATTAGAGAGGCATTGCATGGGCACTGGGGCATTTCGGTGTGTCTGGGTCTGTGGGTGTTTGTGGGCTGGGTCAGCTGTGGGATCTGGTGTGTGTATGAGCATGCATGTGCAGATGAGTCCCCTTGCCTTCCACCTCCCAGCACAGCTTTTTGTCAGGTGCCCTGAATTGCTTCCTGCTTTCCACCCATGTAAACTTGGTGGCAAGCCCCCTGACCTTGACATGGCAGTTCTCCTGTGGCATCCCCTCTCCCACACCTTACATCCCCTCCACAGGATTCCCAGTTGCCTGTGATTTCAGGCTCATGTTTGGAGGGCCCTGGAGTTGTGAGGGCCATGAAAGGGAGAATTTGGAAAGTTCAAACAATCTGAGACCATGATAGAGGTCTTGTGTGAGAGAGCAGAGAAAACTGGGGTTGAGGACGAGAACAAAGGCAGGTTATGGCTGGAGAGTTGCCCCCTTCCCTGGCTGCTGGTGCCTCACACACTATGCAGGGGCCACCTGAGGGCAGAGGCCTGAGTCCCAGCCTCTCCATCTGAAGAAGGCACCTGAGAGAGGACAGTGAGGGTTGGGACGGCATCTGCAGGCCATGTTGCTCCTCTGTTGCAATTTGTGTCCTCCCCAGTGTGGCCAGGTGATGTGCTCTTCCATCCCTCCTCCCCTTGGCCAAGAGAAGCCTATTCCCCAAAGACATGCATATTTTCATGGGAAATCTTTATATTTTTAAAAATCTTAGCAAGTAATTTGCGTTCAAAAATAAAACCCTGTGGGCTATCAATTGGCAGCCCCTCATGTATCAGTTACTGTACTTGAGTTTATAAGCAATGACTCTGTAACTTTCGGCAAAGAGTAGGAATTCTTCTAGAAGGCCAGGGTCTTAGAGGAACATTTGTGGACAGTGAGTGCTTAGGTTCTAGAGGCAGCTGGTGGGGACTCACCTGGCCCCAGCCCTCTGGGGACCACCATCCCAATGCACAAGCTTCAGCTTTTTCCTCGGATGTCATGAGGACCAAGTGTTAGATACACAAGGCTCCCAAGATCTGAGCAGTTCTAAATGGTATTACTAAATGTTATCCTTGCTAAATGTTAAAATGTATTTTGTAGACCAGTTGTAACAGGATGAGCTTGACAAACTCAAAGGATAAATGTAAGCAATGGCAAAGACAAAAATCGAAGTATAATTAACCATGAGATTTGAAGAGGGTGGCAGAGGTAAATGCCTGTACTGGCCGCTTCCCACAACCACATCAAAATTATAACTAAAATACAGAACAACCATCATTCAGAACCACTGGAAATCTGGCTGAATGGAAGTCCTACAACTAGAGAAGTAAAGAAGAAAGCACACTGAGACTGGTAAGAAGTAATTGTCATGGAACGGGCTAGGCCAGCACTCACCTGTGCCACTTTTTTATTATAATTGGGAGGGAGATCTCTGTGGAGGCTGCCCGGAGGAGCAAGGAGACCCAGCCCCACACCAAATGCCCAGTCCAGGATCCCCAGAGCTGGGAAAAGAAGTCCCTATGGGCAGTGAGAACTATGGGCTGTAAAAACCAGTGCAGATTGGAGCTGAGTGACACAGAGGCTGCTCTTAAAAAGGCCTGTACCAGGAAGGTTCCACTTTCTCTGAGTTCCAGCACCAGGGCAAGGCACATATAAGGAGGAACTGGATTGTCTGGCACTGGGGCAGGAACTCTGGTGTGGCTTTCTCCTAGGCAGAGGTGCTCGCAGGGATCATTGTTCCTATGCTGGGACTTCTCCAGTTGCACAGCTGACTGGCAGCCATTTCTGTTTGTCCTGTCTCATCCAATTTACAACCCCACCCAAGCTGTGTGCAGTGGAATTTGCATTTGAATGGCCTGACCTTCCTCAGGTTAAAATCTCTCAAATAAGCTGCAATTGGGTCAAGGAGTCCCAAACCTATCAATAAAGGGCAAAAGGCCCAAGACCTGGCACCAGCATCAGCCTGCTGTGCTTCATAGCTGGGCCTCATCTGGGCACTTCCAAACCTGATACAAAAAGGAGGAATCTGCAGATCTCTCTGTAGCTCCTTCTAGGTGGTCTCAGGCGATGGCTGACTTTGCACCTCCCTGGTGACTCAAGAGCCAATGTATTTAATGGTCTGTGTCAGACCACACCAGATTATAACTAGACACACATCCGTAATGACACACTCAAGGGTCCGACTCAATGAGCACCAAAGCCCCACTGAAGCAAGTTCTGCTACATAGGGGTATCTCCTGCACAACAACTCTTTCACTGTAGTCACAGCTGGTTTTCACAGCCAATTGGCCTGAAGGTCGCTATGTCTCCTTGAGTTGGTAGAGTGGCCCTGTGTAGTAGGTGTCCTATAGGGCCCAGTGGCTCAGCCTCCCCAGTCATCCATGTTGGGCACTTTAGGTGCACCCCTTTGTGGGCTGTGAGTACAGACTTGTTGTAGTTGAGACTTGATTGCTGTTGGTGTCACTAGGAGGAATTAGCTCTACCAAATACATAGAAACAAACACAGTGAAGCAGCCAAAATAAAGAGATAAAGAAACATGTCACAAATGAAAGAAATTGAAGAGAGCAAACTACTGGATATAGAGTTTAAAACCATGATTATAAGGTTACTCATGAACCTTCTGGATACTTCAAAAAAAAAAAATGGAAAAGGACCAGTCAGAGATTAAGCATACACTGACTGAAATAAAGAATAATATACAGGGATTAAACAATAGAATAGAGGATTCTGAGAATCAAATCAATGATTTGAAATATGAAAAAGCAAAAAACACCCAACCAGAAGAGCAAAAATAATCCAAAAATGTGTATATAATGCAAGGAGCCTCTGGGACAACTTCAAGTATACCAATATTAACATTATGGTGGTACCAGAAGAAGAGAGAGATCAAAATATTAAAAACATAATTGAAGAAATAATTACAGAAAGTTTCCCCTACCTGGTGAAAGAAATAAACTACAAGTCCAGGAAGCACAGAGAATAAAAAAAAAAAAAAAAAGCAGAACCCAAAGAGGACCACACCAAGTCATATCATAATTAAAATGCCAACGGCTAAAGACAAATAGAGAATCTTAAAAACAGCAAGAGAAAAACAGTTAATTATCTACAAGGGAATGCCCATTAGACTGTCACTGATTTCTCAACAGATATTACACAAGTCAGAAGGGAGTGGCAAGAAATAGTCAAAGTGATGAATAGCAAAGACCTACAACCAAGATTACTTTACCCAGCAAAGTTATCATTTAGAATTGAAGGTCAGATAAAGAGCTTCACAGACAAGAAAAAGCTAAAGGAATTCATCACCACCAAACCAATATTATAGGAAATATTGAAGGATATTCCTTAAGAAGATGGAGAAGAGAAATTAGAAATAAAAAAAATAAAAAATACGAACAACAAAATAGCAACAAATACTTACCTATAACAATTAAATATAAAAATAAACTAATAAGAAATCTAATAAACAGAATAAATTGGTAAATAAAATAAAATCAGAGGCATGAAAATGGAACAGACTCATGATTCTCAGAGGGAAGACAGGGGGCAGGAAGAAATTAAACAAAGATCTTATATGCATACATGCATTACTTATGGACACAAGCAATAGGGTGGTGAAGGCCTGAGGCATGTTGGGAAAGGGGTGGAGGGGAGTAATGGGGAAGAAAAAGAGGGACATCTGTAATAATCACAACAAAAATGGTTTTTTTTAAAAAAGTATAATTGACCAAATAGTGTTGACAAGCAATGTCTAAGCCTCTCTTTGAAGAAAGAGCTTTGAATGTGAATCTTGTCTCCTTTACTTGCTTCAAATAAATAAACCTACTTTGTGCCAACCGGAAAATTGTGTCTCATTCTTGAATACAGCACCCCAAGAGGCAAACACCTTGAGTTTGCTAACACAAGGGAGATGATTTAACTAAGGTCTTTGCTAATTCATGAGCAGAGCTGCCCCTGTGTCACACTGAGCCCAGTGTTTTACCATATCTTTCCACTCCAGGGCCTCAGCCAGGCCAGTCACCAGGGCACATGGGACTGTCATAGGACATAGATGTGTATGATCTTTCTCCTGAGAAGGGATCCTGGAAATTCCTGATTAGTGTCCCAGTGGAGGCTCTCAGTTCCCAGAGCTCAACATAATTTTTCTTCACTCTCTTGTTTAAATTCTTCACTTGGAACAAAATGCAAGCACTGGGCCGAGATCAGCAATGATCCCCTGCCTCATCTATGATCCCCTGTTGCCTCTCTCACTGCATCTTTCTTCCCTTCCTGCTTTACCACCCTATGGCTTTGCTGCTCTTCTTTCCCTGGAGCAGAGAAAAGGCTCTCCTAACCCAAGGCCTTGGCCTTTTGCTTGAGATGCTCACCTTAAGTGATGACTGCCCATTCCTGGTAACTTCTTTTCTATCAACCTTTAGCCTAAACCCTCTCTCATCTCCCCTCCTCGTCCCATGCATTGTGAATCACTTGTTTCTTTTTCTTTTCTTTTCTTTTTTAAATTATCATCTGAGTATATGTTAATTGACGTTAGAGAGCAAGGAAGTGGCAGAGAAAGAGAGAGAGAGAGAAATATCAACGTGAGAGAGAAACATCCATCCATTGCCTCTGAAAGTGCTCTGACCAGGGAACAAACCCTCAACCTAGGTATGTGCCCTGACCAGAACTTGAACCTGCAACCTTTTGGTGTACATGACAATGCTCCAACCAAATGTGCAACCTAGCCAGGGCTCTTTTTATTTTTTTATAGAATTTATTTTGGGTAGTTATATTGTTGATTCATTTGGCAAATTTTAATATATTGATATATAATATATAATATATAATATATATATTATATATTATATATTATATATTATATATTATATATTATATATTATATATTATATATTATATATTATATATTATATATTATATATTATATATTATATATTATATATTATATATTATATATTATATATTGTATATTATATATTGTATAATATATAATATATTATATATTATATATTATATATATTATATATATTATATATATTATATATAATGTATATATATTTCAGAGAAGAAGGATAAGGGAGAGAGAGAGAGAAACATCAATGGTGAGAATTATTTATTGGCTGTCTCCTGCACTCCCCCTGCTGGGGATGGAAGCCCACAACCCAGGCATGTGCTCTTGACTGGAATCAAACTCAGGACCTTTCAATCTGCATGCTGATGCTCTATCCACTGAACCAAACCAGCTAGGGCACAAATATTTTTTGAGCACCTACTATGTGCTAGGATATGTTTTGTTAATCACAATATTTATTTATTTATTTATTTATTTATTTATTTATTTATTTATTTTAACCTTTTAGCAAGTTTATTAGGCCAAAATCTACTCTGGTATGGATACCACCAGGTCCTGCAATACAGCTGGGTTTGATTCTAAAGTCAGTGAAAAAAAAAGCATGTGGTCAGAATACTCTAGAAATTTTCCAGTGAACACAATTTTGTGTCTACAGCCCAATATTGTACAATGTGTAGTTGGGTAAAGGCAGTGATGGAGAACAGTACTAGCTAAGATGTCCAGTTTTGAGCTTTCCTATTTGTTAAATCATTTAATTCTCAAAACCACCCTATGAAGTAGGTGATGTTGTTATGCCCATTATACAGTTTAAAAAAATTGAGGCAAGGGTGTTACTGGATGGGACTGGGCCCAGAGCAGGTCTGCCTTGGGCCAACCAGTAGTGTGTGGGTTCTTGATTTCACACAGGAAAGATTTCACACACAAGTCCAGATTATTTTAAGAGTGTTTATTATTGAAACATACAGTGAAATAAGAAAGGGCCTAGGATGAAAGAAGCAACAGGAGAGAGCCTAGGCAGGGCTGCTTGGGCTCACTGAGAAATGAAAGTCACAGTAAAAGAAGTTGTAAGGAAGGGAAAAAGGCTTTTCTTTTTCTTTGCTGTGGCCTTGCACAATTTATGAGAAGCACCTGATAATTAACCCCCAAGTTTGTTAGCTCCTCTGATTCAAACAGCCCCTCTGTTCAAACTACAAGACAAGATAAGCTACTCTCAAGGCTACATTCTTCCATTCCCCCTCCTTCCTGCTGTTTTTAGAACTCAGGGATAATTCACACTAAGGAGTCTAGTTAGTAGAAAATCCTTCCCCTCTCCCCTTCAAACAAGCCTCTTTTGAACTCTTCATAAATTTTTCTCTGCCCTAAGACATCTGCCAAACTGTCTCCTAGAAAGCAAACTGTAACTTTTCAAGATAGGGTCCCCCTCTTCCCCCCACCCATATCTGCTCAACTTCAACACAACACAAACTCTTCCCTTCCTTGTCACCTAGCAACACCAGCCATTACTCTTTAAAAGTGGAAGCCATATTTTGTTCCCTGCCCTGTATTGATTGGCACTAATTGGCCCTTTTCCTTCATGGAGAGTGGAATAAACTTCCTCTCTGCATCTCTTCTTTTAATTGTGAATCCTTTCACAGTCCACACCACCAGCCAAACCCTAACAGAAGTGAGCCAAGGTGGGGCTGCTGTCCGCTCACTGGAAAGTCAGAGAAAAAGGAAGCCTTGGAGACAGGTTCATGGAGTAAACTCAGGACAAGCTGCGGCTGCCCACTGTTCCCCTGGTTTCAAGTCTTGAGGAGGCTTAGAGTTTAGGAGAAAGAGAGCAGAGATACAGGCCTAAGAGTTACAAGACATGGGCATGCTCCAGCAAGAGAAGACCCTCAGTCCCCTGTCTGGAGGCTTTTTATCTTTCTTTAGCCTGAGGGAATCCTAGGAGAGGTTTTAGGAGAGGGTCTCAGCAGAAGAAACATTAGCATTCCAGAGGTGTTCTTTCAATATGTTGGTTTACCAAAATGTACGTGCAGAGGTATTAGCGTTATTTTCCGGTTAGTTTCATATTTAAAGAACGTCATTGAAGAGAGACCGAACAGAGGCCAGTCTGCTCCCAGACAGTCTGGAATGTGTAAACCATTTGCTCCTAAATGTCTTTGGTTAGGGGAGATAAAATTTTGTGATTCATTAGTTGGTTGGCTGTAAATTGCTCAAATTGTTTGGCCTTATTTAATTATTTCATCTTGGTTTCTCTTATTCCACTTGTCAAGGCATTTCCCTAGCTTCTTACTATCCTGCCTCACAGGGAGGTCATGTTTCCCAAAATCACAAGACTGGAAAGTGGTTGACAGAACCCAAGCAGCCTGTGTCAGAGTTGCCCCAGGGACTTCACCCCTACCCTTCCACCCACTGCCCAGTGTGGGAAAGGTAGTCAGGCATGCTGCCCAACAGCAGATGAGGACATGGGGTCCAGAAAGGCTGAGCCCTGTATGCAAGTCACTGTGTGCAGAGTGCTGGAGACATCTCATCACTCTAGCAAGTGAGTCAGTGGGCTCAATTTCAGGCATCCTGTGCCCAGTTGGAAATGCCATGTGGGAACGGTGACCAAGCCTGGGCTAGAGTGAATGGCATGGGAAGGGGGCAGATTCCAGAGCTAATGAGAAAGTAAATAAAGCTGGTGACCCCTTTGACGTGGGGGTAAGGAAAGGGAGGTGGCCAAGTGCCCCAGGGTCCCTGGCAGGAGGGGAGATGCCAGGTAAGAAACCAGGAGGACTTGACTGGGGCTGGGATGAGGTGGAGATTGAGCCATGAGTGGCTGGGGCTCTGAGACACCTTGATGATGACACCTGGGCATTATTAAATTTTACACGGTGGAATGGATCTGGCTGAGGTTATGGGTGGGCAGATTCTTGAACCTGTGGTAAAGGATGAAGTTGCCAAGGAAAGGAGAGGCCAGAGACATAGCTGGGGGAGGGGGTCCCTCACATAGGATGGCGTCCATTGGGATGGCACTGAGGAGCATATAGTGTAAAGGCCTTGAGCATATAGTGTGAAGAGAAAAGTCTTCTCTTGAGGGGCTTCCTGGAACCAAATCTGTTCCAGGAACAAAAACTTTAAAACATGGCACAAAAGATGCAGGTATATCTTGCTCTGGTTGGGTAGCTCAGATGGTTAGAGCATTGTCCCAATATGCCAAAGTTTCAGATTTGGTCCCCAGTCGGGGCAAGTACAGGACTCAACCGATGAATGCATCAATAAGTGGAACAACAAATCAATGTTTCTCTCTCATACACATTCCCTTCTTCTCTCTCTCAAATCAATTTAAAAAAAGTACAGGTATATCTTTTTTCTTCTTTTTTTGCTAGAACAATGATAAGGGAACACTATTTTACAGAGGTGATCAGATTCTCTATGAATTCCATATTACATGTCCTGGGGACTTCATATCAGATCTTGGTGTTACTACACAGGAGGAGGGACCACATGGAGCTGCTGGATGGGAGCCAGCCAAAAAGCACCCTCCTATTGG